CCGTATAAAATAATTGTGCTCTGCAGAGCCGTTTGGATGGGACTAAACCCTGTTTCTCCAGGCTGGGCACAAACCCAAGCTTAGTCAATGAAAGTATCCCCTCATCCCAAATGTGGTCTGAATGAATTCTGGGATCCCCAAATTCTGGGATGAACAGGCTACTCGGAACTTTTCTAAGAACTATCCAAAAACAAAACAAAAATGTGTTCCTCCTCCAGTACAAGTCTAAGGACTATGTAGCGTATAAGGTACAGCAAAGGGAAGAGAGTGTCTTTGAAAATAAAGTCAAGCACAGGAAAAATGAGACAAGAGCTAGAAAGAGAGAAACGGAAAATGAGGAGAAACAACACTAAAGCTCTGCATCAACCAGGCCTGAAGACTTCCCCAAGAGACCTCCCAGTCACATACAGCGGAAATTCCCATTCTCATATAATATAGTTTGGGTTGTGGCCCTTTGGCAATCCGCATCTGTAGATCAGAGGGCTTTCCGGCCATTAGCCATGCAATAATGCTTTTTTAATCTGTGAATACAAAAAATTGATAAATTATTTGTTGGAGGCCTGATTTCAGCCATTCTACTCCTTGAGATAATGTATGTAAGTTTTTATAACAAAGATGGGAGAACAAAAGCATAAAATTGTTCTCCAATCTTTATATCTTGTGCTCTGTCATTAGTGAACAGTGCCCCAAATGAGAAAGAAAAAGATTTCTGGACATCTTCATTGTCAAACATCTTGGGTGCAGCAAAGGGAGACACAGGTATTTTAGAATCTGAGTTGTATCCACAGAGTTTGCTCATGGATAAATCTTTTCTCTCCAGCCATCATAAAATGGGGTGGAGGGAGACCTTTTTATGAGTTCCTCCTTAGGCCTTTGAATAAGTTCAAGTGGAGACACCTCATCAGAAAAGAACAGATTAAAAGACAGCATGGGTAATATCTAATTAATTGATATTATTTTAAATGGAAAATGAAAAGACCTTTTCAAAAATCCCTCTAAATGATACTTGTTTCTTAGACTTCTTAACCTTTCAGTCCCTGCCTTATTAAGAAGCTACTGATTCATGTGGAGTCTGACAAGGAAAGAATGTCTCCTCTGACCTTTGGCTCCAAATTCCCTGTAAAGCATTCAGGTGTTGCCATCTGCAAATTAAGGTCATATGTGAAACCATACTTTTAACAGCCTAGTGAGTAATGGGTAGGTCTGACCTTTTGTGAGCAGAGAGCTTTTAAGTTGAAACATGCTTTGGCAGCTTACCAGTACTTCCTTATTTTCTTTTTACCCTTTGTGATCTAAAGACTCTCCAATTCTGAAGGGAAAGTCCACTTGATCCATTAAATGGGAATGGCCTAAGGTACAACCCTCTAGAGAAGTCATTAAAAAATTCTTGCAGCCCTCATGACATCCATGGAATCAGATCCTGACACTAGAAATTGCCAACAAAGGAAAAATGACAACAATCTTAACAGAAAATCTAAAACAGAAAAAAAAAAAAAAAAATCAAACCAAACCACCAGACTCCTGTCACATTCTCACATCCGAACTCCTCTCCCCCAGGTCCACTCTGTTCCAGCCACACTGGCGTCCTGGTGGTGGCATCAACGCGCCAGGCACACGCCTACTTCAGGGGCTCTGCGCTGCTGTCTCTTCTGCCTGAACGTTCTCCCCTTTCTCACGACATCCACACTGCTTATTCCCCCTGCTCCTTTAGGTCTTCATCAAAATTGTCACCTTACCCAGGACAGAGATTACTGTCTGATTTTCCACTGTTTTAGAACTAGATTTCTTTCATTTAAAAATAATAAGTTCATTAATCAAAACTTCACTTCAAATAACGGACTACAGATATCAAAATACAATAAGCATTTAAATATAATACCCTCATGAGTCTTCATTATAGTACATTAAAAGTAAAACATCTTTCAAGTATAAAACAGACAAGGTGGTCCTATCTCAGGTGATCCCACCTATCTGTTGTACTCAAGTAGGCAAATAGTTTTATTTATATTAGGTCACCTCAGACTGATGAGAAAGACAGTGGTTATGTAACAGAAAAAAGAGAAATAAAGCGACTATAAGAGAAACAGTGTATCCCTCTTGCCTCCCATGCAGGGTGGGCACCAAGTTGAGAGCTGGTAAGCCTGCCAGTGGATGTTCCAGAGTTAGACGGAAGAGGGTGAGAATGGAACAACATCCAAAGGAGCCGAGGAGAGCTAAGAGTTTAGGCCAAGACAGCAAGGGGAAGATGGTAAATACTCTCTGACAGCATTACCGGGGGGAAAAGATGGACTACAAGTCACCAACTGCAGGTTTCAGCAGGGCAGGCAAGAGAGGTACCAGCTACCTGGTGGACAAGAGACATTACCACAAAGACGAGAGGAGCCCGCACCCTCCCTTCCCACCAGGACAATACAGAAAATTCCCCCCAGATACATTGGGGAGGAAGGGGGGAGAGGCAGAAGGTTTTCTTAGAGAACTTGAACAATATTTAAACGAACCATTTACAATTTGAATAGGACTAGATCTTAAATGGCAATTTTTCCACTACCAAGCAAGACTCCAAAAAGTATTAGATTGTCTGTTGATTAGATAAGTAACTTCTCCTAATATCTGAATTGTAATAATTGGTCGGTAAATATACAAAATGATTTTAAAAGCATCAGCATCCCAACACTAAAAGAAATGATATGTGACTGGATAGAGGTTATCAGCTATCACTACAATGGCAATCCTACTGCAATATAAATGCATCAAATCAATATATTGTATACCTTAAACTTACACAATGTTATGTCAATTATGCCTCAGTTAAAAAGAAAAAATGTTTAAGTATCAGCAAATATCTGATCACACATGAGAAAGAATTACTTAGGCATAGAAGCAGTGGGAGAAATTACACCAAAAATTTAATAGATTAGACCATGTAACATTTAAAACTGTAGTACATTAAAAACAAACACAAAACTAAAAGCCAATTTTTTAAAAGCAGGAAAATCAAACAAATAGAATAGACTTAATGCTAATACCCTCAACACATAAACATTTGAAGACTGATCAAGCAATGCAATAAAAATTAGCAAATTAAAATAGACAAATCAAAAGGGACAAGTAACTAATATATTTGAAAAACTGCTGAGCCTCATAAGTTATCAATAAAAGCAAAAAAAATTAAACATACCACTTTTTAACTATCAAACAAGACAATGTGTTTTAAACTCAATGTTGTCAGAATAGTACAAAACATACTATAAGAAATTAGTATAAGCTTTAATGTAATCAGGTAATATCAATAAATTACTCTTCTTAACCCAATATTCCCCTTATAGTAATATATCTTAAGGAAATAATCAGTGATGTGAACAAAAACTTGGATATAATTTTTACTGCAACATTATTTATAATTGTCAAAAAAGGGGAGGGGCTTCCCTGGTGGCACAGTTGTTGAGAGTCCGCCTGCCGATGCAAGGGATGCGGGTTCATGCCCCGGTCCGGGAAGATCCCACATGCCGTGGAGCGGCTGGGCCCGTGAGCCATGGCCACTGAGCCTGCACGTCTAGAGCCTGTGCTCCACAACAGGAGAGGCCACAGCAGTGAGAGGCCCAGGTACCGCAAAAAAAAAAAAAAGGGGGGGGGGGAGGAACAATCTAGATGATCAAAAACAGGTATTTTTTTTTATATACTTATCAAGTATTCATTGTTTATACCTGTTTAAATACTGGTAGAGTACACCCTAGCCATATGAAGCATTATATAACCATCAAAAATATTTTTCAAAGGCTACTTAAAGATAGGAAAAATGCTATCTGTATAAAGTGAAAAGAGGGCACAATACTGCATATTCAAAATGAACAAATGATGATATATTTATACAAAGAAACATTATTCAGCAACAAAAACTGGATGAATCTCAAAAAATGCAACATGGATGAATCTCAAAAAATCAAAAAACAAAAACAAGAAAACCATTATATGAAGTGAAAAAAGCCAGACACAAAAGAATAAATACTGTATGAGTCTATTTATAGAAGTTCAAGGGCAGGCAAAACTAACCTATGGTGATAGAACAGCGGTTACTTCTGGGAGGAGGTGTATCAAGTGCAAATAAGTGTGAGGAAACTCTCAGGGTGATGCAAATGTTCTGGAGTTTGATGGGGTGGTGACCACAGGAGGATATAAATATGTAAAAACGTCATCAAATAGACTATAAATACATATATACATAAATGAAATAATAAAATAAAGTCGTCAAGATGTATATTTAAGATCTGTGCATTTTACTGTTCATATATTATACCTCCATAAAGTAATACAGAAATTGCATATAAAGGATAATTTCAATTTGGTTAAATATATTTATATGCAAAGAATAAAAAGAATGTAAGGTACAACAAAATATTAAAGGTGTTTAATTCTGGGATCGCAAATTATTTGTATTTTTAACTTTCTGCATTTCCACATTCTCAACAATGAGTTATATGACTTTTATAAATGATCAGGAAAAAAAACCCTGAACTTTTTAAAAGAATTCTGCCATGCTTGCAAAAGAAAATTCTGTTACACTTATAACTATCACAAAATTATTCAATGTGCAGAAATACTTAGTAAGTCCTTCTAACAACTTTCCTATAAGTTATAAACAGTCATATTTGCAATGTATGTGGAAAAATTAAGAAAAGCACTAATTAAGCTAAGCATCTGCTTGGTGACTAAATGAGCAAGATAACTGGAAAGCCCACACCACACTGTGGAATGATTTTAAAACATGGTCCTGCGTGCAGCAAACACAGGGCTCTTATGACTCAGCAACAACCAGCTCCTGAAAAAGTTAATTTTCTTTATTTATTACTTTAAGTATTCCTGATAAGCTTGACGTATCTAAATTCCATGCAAAATGCCCCACATGAATTTTCTTTACAACAAAAATACCTTTTGAGTTTCAGAAACTTTTACAATATGCGTAAAATAATAAATAAGAACAAAACCAAAGAAGACATACAAACCTCTGATTGTACATGCCCCGAAAGTTGTAATTAGCTCTATAATTTGGGAAAGGCTTTGGATCTAACGGCCTGTAGATGGCAGGCTCTCCCCTTTTCATAGCAAGCCCATTCAGTTCCACAGTTGGTGTTATACTACCTGTTTAAAAGAAATATTAAAGGCACACAAGTGAAATATTTCCATAATAAATCATGCAGTCCATATTTATTTTACATATAATTACAATGGAAGACGGTGGCAGTGGATGCCCTTCTGCCTGATTTTCTAAGGGGGGTGCATAAACAAGCTACATAAACAGGAAAATCGTTTCTAGTGAAATCTCTTTGGGGTTGCTGCAACATTTTCTGTACATTAATGACCAAAAATTCAACTTTATAGTCCCACTGTTTCAAAACAAGGAAAACAGAAGATTCATAGATGGCTTCGTTTGGATATTATAAAGCAACTACTGAATTTCAAGGTTCCTTACTCCAGAAAGCTTACAACTACTTAATCATTAAAAGCATTATCATCTGTGAATATTTTAAGTTATATTTTGGTTATCAAGCAACTAGAATTAGCAATATGTACAGGGTCATCAGTAACTCTTGGACTTATCTAATGAAAATAAATTTTGAGTTTTTTCTATAACCAACAACAGGACAAAACAGTAAATACAAGTAATGCTTTCTGTGGATAATCTTAAAAGATACATGCTGAAGCATTTATGGATGAAGTGATATGTCTGAGATTTGTTTCAAAATAATTCAGAGGACAGAGAGATGAGAAACAAAGATGGGATGTGTGAGTAACTGTTGTGCCTGATAACCAGTACAGGGATGTTCAATAGCTTATCTTTTCTACTTTTGTAAAAGTTTGAAAAATCCCATAAAATATAACACACAATGTACAGTTATTATGTCAAGTTATTTTCAGTGCCAAAAAAGGTTATTTAGTAAATATACATATATGTTCCAAATCACAAAAATGAATCTAAAGGTTTTATAGAGAGTACAATTTATTTCTCATGTAAATTCTGTATTATTTCATTTGAATTATGCCTTTTGCACCATACATTTAAGACTCCCCTTCATCATGAACAAAAATGGATCCACTTACTGCAGCAGAGAAACTGGGGCACAAAGTACTAGCTGAGGAGTGGTGGAGCCTGACACAAATGCACAACTGGCTGCTAGGTCATAAGCAAGCCATCAAGAGTCATAAGCTGCTCATTTTATGTCTCATCTCTAAAGAATTCACATGAAACCACTGAAGAGCATAATAAGAACAGGAACTAAACCAAGGTTAAGAAAAAGGAAAAAATAAAGGAGGCGGGAGGACAAAGGAGAAAGCAGAAAAGAAAAAGATAAGGATAAGAAAAACAGCAAAGAAAAGCTAACATGTTAAGTAGTAAGTCGAATTAGTCCAAACTCCAAATTTAACACAAACACTCAGGGCAGAGGAAGAGTAAGTCAAGCACAAAGGGATTCTTTCTTTGTTTCTTACAGCATTTTACCGAAGGATAAGTAAAATGTACAAACCTTAAGCATACAGCTCCATGAGTTACTATACATGTAACACTCATACAACCAACATTCAGATCAAGATCTGAACATTTCCATCACCCAGAAATACCCAGTCAATACCCACCTCCCCATGTTATCCATTCTGACTTCTGTCATCATAGATTGGTTTTGCCTATTCTTCAAATCTAAATGTGTATTAGTTTGTCTTGCTTCTTTCACTCAACATAATGCTTTGTTGAATATCACTTTCAAACTTTCCCACTGAAAAGCATTCCGCTCAGTTTATCTAATCTGCCCTTGATGGGACATCTGGGTTGTTTTCAGTTTGAGGCTATTAAGTATCAAGCCACCTTGAACACTCTTCAGTAAGTCTCTCAGCAGACCTATATGCTCTTTTCACTTGGGTATACACCTAGCAGTGGAATTGCTAGGCCAGAGGGTAGGTTCATGTTTAAAAGTAAAGTTAAAACTGCCTAACAGTTCTCCAAAGATAATTTTTAACACCAAGGAGCCATCCACGCCTTTAGAAGTTTCCATTTTTCTTATTCCATAAAGATTTCAGTTTACTAATTAACAGATTAATCAGTTGTACAATTTATGTCATTATGAATTCTACTTTGCAACAATCATACAGGCACAAATAGATAACGTTCAAATGGGAAAACTAGAAAAGAAAAAAAAAGCTTGAAAGACCTCATCCTTTAAGGATGGCAATAAACAGGAAAGTAATGTGTTTGAAAATGAACAGTGAGATGATTTTAATGCACTGGTAGGACATACTATGTCTGCCATCCACACCAAAATTGCATTTTAAACTAGGTAAAAGTACTGTATTCATATTATTTAAATAAAGAAATAATCTCATACAAATTCCTCATTTGAAAGTAAGGCTACAGTACATTTTCTTCATAGAAATGCCAGAGACTGGTGTTGTGAAGGAGAGTAGAAGAGAAGCAGAAAAGCACAAACCACACAGAGAAGGTTTCAACTCCTTAGAGTGAAGTACTCCATCTGTTTCCTACAGAATGAGACTGACATCTCCACATGTGCATACCTCTCGTTACTTACATAGTAATGCTCTCACAGAAAACATTTAAAGAATAACTTCAAACTTTGAGCCGTCTCTAGGAAATGCTAAGTACCATTGTTTTCAACATGTGATGGTTAGACCCAGGTTGCATAAAGATAATCATTGCATAGGAATCCTCATGTATTTTATGGCTATAGAGTTGACACTGTAAACACATAATCAGTTTTTAGTGGTTTTTAGATACATTAAAGGAAATTTCTATATTTACCAATGATAAAAAAAGACTAATTAATTAGATACACAAACGTATATAACAACAATTGTGGACTCCTATCATGTGACAGATTAAAAACAAGATGCCACAACTAGTTTTCAAGGAGCCATGTATTACTAACACTTAAAGAAACAACTTTGTAGGAAGTTAGAAAAGTCCCTGGAACATAGTAGTCACTCAATAAATATTTGCTGAAAGAATGAATTGATTAATCAATAAATCAGGGCTCTTGGAGAAATTATTGGAGTCAGGGCAGGGAAAACACAAGATGACCCAGGAACATCTTATCGTGCCAGAAAGAAATGCCCAAAGAATGATGAGGAAATTATCTGAAGGACACAGGAGTCAACTTGAAGTGGTCATACCACTGGCCAAATCTGGGACAATCTGAGCATCAAAATAAATAATGACGATTGTAGATCCTAAACCTGTAGGTAAAACAGAAATCCAAAAGTCTATAGTGATATAAATAAACTAACAAAAAAAATGACAGGGACAAGAAAGCTCTTGGGTAGAATGCCAACTAATAAATCGAAACAGAACATGGAATTAAAAATCACCCTTTGGCAACCTTCAGAGTAACCATGGATTCAGACAAGAATCATCAATCATCAGTCTTTCATGTAGGTGAAAGAAAGTTTGACAAGAAACAGAATGTTTATATAGTCTCAAAGTACCTCCTCAGAAAATAATTGTTCAGAACTTCTCTGGTCACACAGTGGTTAAGAATCTGCCTGCCAATGCAGGGGACAGGGGTTCAAGCCCTGGTCTGGGAAGATCCCACATGCCACAGAGCAACTAAGCCTATTCGCCACAACTACTGAGCCTGCGCTCTAGAGCCCGTGAGCCACAACTACTGAGCCCGTTTGCCACAACTACTGAAGCCCATGCGCCTAAGAGCCCGTGCTCCACAACAAGAGAAGCCACCGCAATGAGAAGCCTGCGCACCGCAATGAAGAGTAGCCTCCGCAACTCTCCGCTACTCAACTAGAGAAAGCCCGCGTGCAGCAACGAAGACCCAACGCAGCCAAAAATAAACAATAAATAAATAAATTTATTTTAAAATATATTTGTTAATTATATTATTTAATAATAAAACATACTTAAAATTAATTAACTTTACAATACAGAAGCCTGGCAGACATACTCTTCACCAAGAAACAAAAGACATCACTAATGGGACAAATCAGTATCATGTGTCTCTTGATATGAAACACCGAGATGAGCCCAGGTCACTTCTGTGATGATATTCATGCTAAAACTGCATAAATCATGAGGAAACACCAGACAAACTCCAGTGAGGCGCATTCTACAAATGATGTGTAGAAACGTCAAGGTCATAAAAAACAAGAAAGACTGAGGAACTGTTTCAGACTGAAGTGGAATGAAGAGAAACAGTCTATGATGCTGATTAGATGCTGGTCTTACAAAGGATGTAACTGGGACCATCAGTGAAGTGTGACTGGAGTCTGTGGATTACACGGTGATACCAAATCAATGTTAACTTCCTGATAGGACAGTGTCTGTGTACTTAAGAAATAATGGGTAATGGGACACCATGTCCGTAACTTATTCTCAAAAGATTCAGAAATGTTAACCATTTCTGAGTGACGGGTACCTGGGAGCTCTATGTACTCTTTCTACAAAATTTATATGTATAAGAAATTATTTCTAAAAAAAGTTTAAAAAAATAAGAGGAAGGAGAAAGCAAAGTAGTTCTATGATATCCTCCTCATTAACAGCAGATTACCCATGCTGTACTAAATTTAACTCCTCTCTGGGACATAACTACTATTTAAGGTCCATCTACTTCCTGTGAAGTCAGGACTAGATCTCCCCTCCTCTGCAGTGCAGACAGGAATGGATTGTCTTTTCAATAAAAGTGCTAAGTTATATATTAAAAGGAAGAAAAAAATCTTTTGACTCCTACCTCACCTCATACATAAACCTCAATTCCTGACAGACTGTAGATCTAAATTTAAAAGATAAAATAATAAAACTTCTAAAAATAATATGAGGTTATCGTCACAATTCTGTGGGAGATAAAGATGTCTTAAAGAGCACAAAAAAAGCACCACCATTCCAGCAATTCCACTTCTGGGCATCTATCCCGAAAAAACAAAAACACTAACTTGAAAAGATATATGCACCCCCACGTTCATGGAAGCAAGCTAAGTGTCCACTGATGGATGAATGGATAAAGAAGAGGTGATGATACATATATACAATAGACTATTATATAGCAATAAAAAAAAAATTTTGCCATTTGTGACAGCATGGATGGCTCTTGAAGGCATTATGCTAAATGAAATAAGTCAGACAGAGAATGACAAACACCATATGACCTCACTTACATGTGGAATCTAAAAAAAACAAAACACAAAAAAACAGAACTCATAGATACAGAGAAGAGATTGGTGGCTGCCAGAGGTGGGAAGTGGGGGGAGGTGTAAATAGGTGAAAGGGGTCAAAAACGTACAACCTTCCAGTTATAAAATAAATAAATCATGGGGATGTAATATACAGCATGGTGATTATAGTTAATCATACTGTATTTTATATTTGAAAGTTGCTAAGAGAATATATCTAACGCGTTCTCATCATGAGAAAGAAAATATTTTAATAACTATGTATGGTGACCGATGTTAATGAGATATTCTGGTGATTTCACAACATATACAAATACCAAATCATTATGTTGTACAGCTGAAACTAATATAATGCTATATGTCAATTAGACTTCAATTTTTAAAAAGCACTAACCATAAGGGAAAAGACTAATAAATTAGACTTTATTAATATAAAAATTTATGTTCATCAAAATGCACCATTAGGAATATGGAGATATTTGCCATACACATATCTGACAAAGTATATTAATCCAGAATACGTAAGAACCCTATAAGTCAATAAAAAATTGAAAAAATTTAAAAACTGACAAGGCAGTTTCTTAACAGGAAAAATATATCAACAGCAGAGAAGATCCTAATGGCAACAGGCATATGAAAAGGTGATCACTTTAATTATTAGGGAAATGCAAATTAAAACCACAGTGAAATACCACCATATCCCCAGAAGAACAGGTAGAAATTTTAAGATACCCCATATTGACAAGGATGTGGAAAACTCTCATATACTGCTAGTGGGAGTGAAATGTGATATGTTTGACATTATGTATTAACACTGAAAACATGCAAAACCTACGACGCAACAATTCCAATCCTAGCTACACAGCCAACAAAAATGTATACATACAAGAATATTCATAGCAATCTTACTTCTAACAGCCCCAAACTAGAAGCAACCCAAATGTCCACCATTAGTATAATGAATAAGTAAATTGTGGTATATCCATGCAGTGGGATACTACATAGCAAAGAAATACTAGACTGTTAACACACAACACAATGAATCTCACAAACATGACACTGAGAAAAACAAGCTATCACAAAAAAGTATGATGCATGATTCCAACAAGCAGGCACAACAAATCTAGGATGACAGAGAGAAGAAGAGTGGTTCCTTTGGAGATGTTTAACCACTAAAAGAGGGCATGAGGGAGGCTTCTGAGGTACTGGTAAAGCCTGCAAAGTGTTCACAGTGCAAAACGCCATCAAGGCTCAACAACCATAATCTGTGCACTTGCCAGAACATAATATTAGGCTTTATTTTAAAAATTTACCTCAACAGTGAATAAACGTGTAAAATGTCATACAAAAAAATAAAAATAAATAAAATCAAAATTTACCCCCCAAAATCTACTCGTTCTGTCAGCTCACTGCAACATTCCACGGTGGAAACTCTTATCTCCACTGGTCTGAAAGGCCAGGAAGACAGACTCTCCTGTTTCCTTCCTCTGGCTCCTTTGCTAGTTTACCTCCGGCTACAACCCTTGGAAGTGGACCTGACCCAAAGCTCAGCACACAACACAAATGGACACTTGTCCTTCTGTCCATTCCAACTGCCGCGCCAATATTCCAGCAGAGGAGGGGGCAACAGCATTCCATGCACGTGTGTTTCTTTTCTTTCTTCACCCGTAAACTATGGCAGTGGTTTCCTAACTGATTTTGCTTTTGGTATTTTCCACCTTCCATTCACATGTCAAACTCAACTTCCTAAACTGCTCTTTTAAACACATCATCCACCTGCTCGTGAAAATTAATCCAAACTATGGATAAAATTTATCTCCTAAAGCTGCAGTCAAGTCCATCACAACCTACTTTCTAACTACATCTCTCGTCTTGCCTCTTACTAGCCACTTAACCTGCTCTAATTAAAAACCGTCTACAAAAAAATTTTTTTTTGCAAAACCCATCATCCAGATTCCTATTCCAATGTCTTTCCTCATCGTATTCCCTCAGCCTGGAATATTCTTTTCTCTCCTCTATACGTACGTGCCTACTCTCTATTCATGACCTACATCTCACCTCAACTACTTCAGTCCATGTTTATCATTACTTATAATACCGATGCCTATTATTACTCACTTGGTACTTAATCTTTACCACTGAGTTACATGTTTTATGTAAATGACTAAAATCCCCACAGCAAAGGACAATGGTTTATAACTCTTAGATATATTCAAACAAATGCTTAATAGAGGCGGTGGTGGTGTGGTGCTAATGATCAACCAGTAATCTGAAGAGAGTTTTAAAAGTTAAGAAAGTAGACAGTCTCTTACCAGCTTCAAGCTGAATTGATTTTTTTTATTATAATAATATTTTTGCTTATTTACCCATACTTAATAAATACTGGAATCAGCTGAACAGATGCAAAAGGACTACTACTAGGAAAGTCATGGAGTTCTGGAAAAGGCAGTCCTTGCAAGAGGAGACTGTCTACCTAACACATGCCATGTGGGAAAGAAGTGTCTGACCTGACTCTGACCATAAGCACGTGAACTATAATTAAACAGACTACAGAGTCGCTGCCGGCAGGCAAGTGTCTTTTTTCACTCCGTCACAAAAGTACTCCATCTAAAGCAGTATCGGTCAGAAGGTAGCCACTTGCATTAATAGGTTAACAGATGAGTAAATGGACACAGGGCTGGCACTAAACTTACGGAACTTCATTAATTTGAGGCTACTAATTCATGCACTGTGTCTGATACAGGTTTGCGCTTCCCAAGAGATAACTGGACACATAATGTTTTTGGTACTGCATGCAATTAGAACAACTTTTTAAAATTATTCTTAGGAGATTAAAATTAGAACACTCATTTACTTAGCAGTATATTACACACAGGTGGGTTTTTCGGATTTGTGGGTTTCTTAAACTCCATGTGAATGTTCTAAATGTAAATGGCAACCATTTCTACATGAACAAATAAAATAATAAGATGCTTAGGGCTAATTTTATAATTTTCTATTAAACTAAAATAAAGAATAACTTTTTAATTATTAAATTATATATTATACATTTAGAAAGAGAAACTGATCATTTCTATCTTTGCTTTAGAAAAACAAACTCAGTCCTATTTTCTGTTCTTTGTATCCAAATGTCTTTTTGTCACACATAAAAAGTAAATAATGCACCTTCAGAGTATCCACTAAAGCAAATTTTTAAAATAATTACAATTACCGTCTTCATTCTCTCACCTTCAGTTATTATTCGGCTGTCTTTACCAGCTGTGCTGTCAATACCTGTTGACTATGCAATGGGCCTGTATGAAGGAAAATACAGAGAGCAGCACATGCAGAAGATGACAACAGGAGGAAACGAGTCAGGGCCATACCTGGGTTATTGTTAACACTGCTTTTGGGCGGCTTCTGAACTGGTTTGGGAAGCGTAGATTCAGTCAAAGCCTTGTTAGCAACAGCCTGCTGGGCCTTCTTTATACTGCTCCCTTCGGATTCCCATGTCTGCTCCCCAAGACTCAGCTGCACTGAGAACATCTTGGAAAAACATACAGAGACAAAGAAAACATTGAAATTTTTCAGGAAATAAAGTGTGCTGTCTGAGAGAAAAATAGATACACTACAGAATCAAAATTTTAGAGCAAGAGTTGAGCTTACAGATCATTTGCAACAAAAATCTTATTCTAACTAGTGAACGAATTTTAAGAGATTGTGCCAAATTCTGTTCTATCCAAAGGCTTAACAGCAGCTCTAAGTGTACATGTTGGGTAGAATGTATCAAGAAGAAATCGCTTCCCTAAATGGAATCATACTGTTAATGTCAGTCAGTCTTCAAAAAAGTAGAATAAGAACAAAGAGTAAGAGAAACTATACGAGAATCCAAAAGGTCTGTGTCTCTGTAACTTTTACAAAATCTAATTCCTTAAACTTTATACCTAGCACAATCTAGTCAGTGAGTCAGGAAATCCTATTAAATATTCTGTCATCAAGGAACTCTCAATCCTCCACAACCGACCTTTAACCAGTCACCAAATTCAGTCAATTTTAACCTCATGAATATTTCTCAAATCTCCTTCCTCTCTCTGCCAGTGACACTGCTACACTAGATGTATCTTAGCTTAGATATAATAATATATCTAAGCCAACTGACTGCTGCTAAATCGAACTATCTTGAAAACTCAAATCCAACTGCATCACTCCAAACACCACCAGGTTAAAAACCTTCGATTGTTCCCCTTGTAACACGGCACAAAGGAGCTACCTGTCCATCTTCATTTCACACCCACCCCTCCCCTTGCACATCCTAACATTCCATTTACACCGGATTTCCATATGCATCCAAAAACCTATTGTTCACCTTTAAAATTTAGGATCAAGTTACAGGATACACATACAATCTGCTGTTTTACTCCACAGACAGTTTACTACTTTGTAGGAATACAAGGTATGAACCTCAAAATACTTATTAATTATGAAGAAGTAAATGTCTTTGCAGGAAAGAAATCAGGTAGAAAATACCTTTAACAACAGAGTGATTAAAGTTAGCATCATCAATAATCATTCAAAGGGACATCATGTGCCTCCTGATATGATCCAATGAGAAGTATGTAGCATTCTTGGCTAAAAATGTTTACCCTGAATCTAATCATAGAGAAACAATCAGGCAGATCTGGGTTATGGTATATTCTATAAGACAACTGACCTAAACTCTTCAAAACTGTCAATATTATGAAAGAAAAAAACAAACAAAAGAATGCATGGGGGCTGTCCTAGATTAAAGGATGCTGAAGAGACATGATGGGGTGTAATAAAGTACAATGTATGATCCCTGACTGGATTCGTACTGGGAAGAAAAGTATAAAGGGCATTTAGAGAACAACCAGGGAAATTTGACTATAGACTATAATATACTAAACAAGCTCAGTCAAGTTTAAATTTCTTGAGTGATTATAGTACTATGGTTATGAAGAAGAACGTCTTTGGTCTTACAAGATAGATATACAAGTATTTAAGGATAAAATGTCATGATGGTTGAAATTTATTTTCAAATTGTTCAAGGAAGAAGTATGTATTTATACAGAAGAGCAAGAAGAGAAGTAAATGTAGCAGTGCAGTAAATAACTGAATGATTAGTAAATCTGAAAGATCCATTATACTGCTCTTTCAGTTTTTCCTGTAGGTTTTCAATTTTTCAAAATACAGAGTTGAAAATATTTATAAGCATTTGAAATTCAAAATATGTACATATTTATTAAAAGTGAATAATTTTTCTTTTATTCTGATTCAGTTTAAAATTTTTACCTAAAACATATCTTTAATTCATTGACCCCCGATTTTAAAACGACTTTTCAATGACCAGGTCTTTTGGCTTTCAACTTACAGTATGTAACAAAGAACTCTGCCACAAAGAAAACATTCTCTCTCCCATTCTCCTCCAAATCAGTTCATGCTCCAGAATTTTCCAGCCATTATTCTTCCATTAATTCAGGTTCAAAACCTCAATAGCTTCTTCGTTTATCCTTGTTTTCCTAAGACTTATTTAACAACACCTCAAAACTGTTCTTTGCTATTTCTGTTGTCACCACCTTAGTCTAAAGCCCCTATAAACTCAGATTTCCTGCCTCCTAATCTTCCAGATGTCATCACTTTCCCAGTCTCACTGGCCAGACACCTTTGAATGGTCTTCCTTGCCTGCTCCATTTCTCTCTGCATTCTCCCCTGCATCCAGTTGATTCAACCTCAAAAATATTTTTCAGATCTGGCCTTTCTTTGTAATGTTTGCCAATATCTTAGTGAAGAGTATCAATGTATCCCTCTCCTAAATTACTGTAAGACCATCCTAATATCACTCCTTTAACATTAAGACTTTCCCATTCAAACTATCCTTCTTAGGAATTCCCTAGTGGTCCAGTGGTTAGTACTCCGTACTTTCACTGCCAGGGCCTGGGTTTGATCCCCAGTTGGGGAACTAAGATCCCACAAACCGCGCCATCACCAACATGAACATTCTATAAAATGCAAATGCATCCAAGTCAATCCTCTGCTTTTCTGAAACCTCTTAAGAATCCTACTACATTGTACACCTAAAACTAATACAACATTTTATGTCAATTATATCTCAATAAAACTGGAGAGAAAAAAAAGAGTCCCACTACAATAAAAATTTGATAATTTTGAGTAGGACTCCTGGGACATACTGTTTATGAGCTGAAGTCACAATCCACCATTTACTATGTGTAACATTAGGGAAGTTAATTCTTTCCCTCTGTTTTCTTACTTCTTTAGTGAAAGTGGGGTAATAAGAACACAGAGAATGGTTATGAAAATTAAAACAAAATTGTGTAAATGCCATTTGAAATGTAGAGATTGTCAAACTGGATAAAAAAAACAAAATCCAACTGTATGCTACCCTCAACTATAAAGACACATGGTTTAAAAGCAAGGGGATAGAAAAAACTTTATCATGATAACATAAAGCAATGAAAGGTCAGAATGGTTATATAAATATCAGACAAAGTAGATTCCAGAGCAAAGACTACTACCAGTGATAACAAAGGTCATTTCATAACGATAAAGGGGCCAGTTAATCAAGAAGAGGATTAACAATCCTAAACACTTGGGCGACTAATAACAGAGTTTCAAGATACATGAAGCAAAAACTAACAGAACTGCAAAGAGAAATAAAGAATCCACAATTAAAGTCAGAGATTCAATACCTCTCTCCCAATAATTGATATAACAATGACCAAGCAATCAGGAAGAATACAGTAGACCTGAACAACACCATCAACCAACATAACCTGACTGCAATGTTTTTAAAACATCTACCCAAGAAGAACAAATATACATTTGTTCTCAATTTCTCACAAAAAATTTACCAAGACAGACAATATTCTGGACCATAAAACAAGTCACAACAAATTCTAAGGAGTCAAGTGATGAACAGTATGCTCTCTGAACACAATGGAATTAGATTAGAAAATAAGAACAGAAAGATCTCTGGAAAATCTCCAAATATTTGGAAACTACGTAACACATTTCTAAATAACCTATGGGTAAAAGAAGAAACCAAGGGGAAAATAGAAAGTATTTTAAACTGAATGAAAATGAAAACTCTACATTTCAAAAGATGACACTGCTAAAACAGTACTAAAGGGAAATTTCTAGCACTAAATGCCTACACTAGAGAAGAAGTAAGGTCTCAAGTAAGTTAACTTCAGCTTTAATCTGAAGAAACCAGAAAAAGAGTAACTCGAACCTGAAGTAAATAGGAAAAAACGTAATAAACATAAAAGCAAACATAAGAAAATAAATATAGAAAAATAATAGAGAAAAAAAAATAAAACCAGAAGCTGGTACTTCACAAAGATCAATAAAATTTGTAAACTCTGTGCAGACTAATCATGAAAAAAAGATAAGACACAAATTACCAGTATCAGGAATGAGAGAGGTGACATCACTACAGATTCATAAAATATTAAAAAGAAACAAGGGAATTTTTTTTTAACAACTTTATGCCAATAAACTCAACAACCTAAGTTCTTAAAAGCCACAGTTACTAAAGCTCATTCAAGAAGAAACAGGTAACCTGAACGCATTATAAATGTTAAGGAAATTCAATCTGTAATTTAAAATCTTTCCACAAAGAAAACTCTAGGCCCAGATGGTTCTGATGATAAATTCTACCAAACATTTAAGAAAGAAATAATGCCAATTTACAAAAACTCTTCCCAAAACTTGAATCAGAAGGAACACCTCTCAACTTATTCTATGAAGCTAGCGTTACCTTGATACCAAAACCAGAATAAGATACTACCAGGGAAAACAAAATAAAACTACACACCAATACCTCTCATAAAGATAAACATAAAAATCCTCAACAAAATATTAACAAATGGAATCTATCAATATAGAAATGAGATAATACTTTATAACCAAGCATTTTATCCCAGGAAGGCAAGGGTTTATTCTACATTTCAGAGTCAGTCAATGTAACTCACAATACTAAGAGATTAAAAATGGAAAAATTAAAAAAAAAAAATGGAAAAATCATGACCATCTCAATCAATGTAGAAGAACCATATGACAAAAACCAACATCTATTCATGTTAAAACTCCCAGCAAAAAAGTAATAATAAAAAAATAAAATAAAGAATTTCCTCAATCTGATTAAAGGCATCTACAGAAAAAGCTACATCTAACATCAAAATTAATGAAGAAAAACTGAATGTCTGCCCATAAAGTCAAGTTAAGAGATATCTGCTCTCACTACTTTTATTCAACATTGCACTGTAAGTTCTAGACAATGCAATTAGGCAAGAGAAATAAATAAAAGACATTCAGATTAGAAAGTAAGATTTAAAACTGTCTTTATTTACAAATAGCTTGTGGGACACCGACCAGAATCTTAAAAAAAAAAAGAAAGAAAAAGTCTACTAGAACTAATAAGTGAGTTTAGCAAGACTGCAAGATGCTAGATCAATATAGAAAAATCAGTGTATTTTTGAAGCAGACTCACAGATATAGAAAACAAACTA